TTACTCAAACAGGCTGTTACAGATAACGATTTAACCGCTAGTTTCCAGTCATTTGTCTTGACTAACATCAGGTAAGTAGTAGGTCAAAATACCGTCTGACTGAGTTATATAATTAACCGCAACCGGTGTTGTTAAATTAAGTCGTTGAGCCATGGTACTATCTGGATAAAACCTTAATACGCCACTTTTTTTATCCAACTCTTCAGTCACCAACACAAAAGCTTCAAAACCAAAATACTCGCAGATAAGTCGATAAAATGCTTTGAATAAGGTCTCTTTGGCAGAAAACACCATAGTGACGGCTTTTTCAAATGACAAATCAGTATTTCGCAAAATTTCAATTTCCCTGGCATTCAGAATTTGATGACATATTTGTTCGGCAACATCAGATGACAACCAAACCTCTTCATCAATACCTACATCTGACCAGGCTGATTGTGCGACAATACACTTCGCTGAAGTATCAGTATGAGTAATAGCGCCAGTCATGGTTTCCGGCCATCTGGGGCAGCGATTCTCGCCAACTTCAACCGTTCGATTGTCTATTCCGAGCAATTGCATCGCATTAGCGGCACAAAACCGTCCAGCCAGAAATTCAGCTTTCCTTTTATTCACCGCGTTTAACAAATGCTCAGGAAGGTGAATGTTTAAATTCTGAAACAAGCCGTCATGATAATTATCCACGGCAAAATTACAGCCATAAACCCTGGCCCCATGAATATCAGGAAAATGAAATTCGCCATGTGAAAGGATAAAATTATCGCTCTCTAATCTGGTTGCTTGTCCGGCCAAACACATATTAGTCAAACACAATTCAGGCATTCTTTTCTCTGAACACAAGATTGAAATTTTTCAAGAAATAACTAAAAGACACTACCAGTATCGCCAATAGTAACATCGCCTGAGTAAATGAGAGTTCCGAGAAAAACAATGTTGAACTGGCTTCGGCAAACAATACAATTTTAATAAAAAGCAATAGTGCTTTGGGGTTAGCTTTGGACATAACCCACCCGCCAATAGGTGCAAACACCAGTACTACCGGAGCAGCCACTAACCAACTAT